AACTTCCTTACGAAAGGCAAAATCCGGGCACACGGTTTTACCGCTATATTATCCCAAAGGTTACACCACTTTTATATTCAGCAGACGTAAATCAAAAGAAGAAAAATTAGCTCACCCAATGTTACAGTGTGCTGCTGTGATTACCCAGTACTTATTTATCAAGGAGCCCCCACATAAGTGCTGACGCTGTGTTGTCTGTATCGACACAATGTACTTGATTGAATGTGGAACTGGTGCGTATCCTCCCACTATACGTTCCTGGACCTCCTTTTGACCTGTGACACACACCCAGAGGGAAACAAATACCATCTTAGATGGGATTTAGAGAGAGAAACACACATAACAGTCTAGAGGGAGCTAACACATTTGAAACATGATTACTGCAGCTGCAGCATCAGCAAGAACAATAAAGAAAACAACAGCTGACTTCAGTGCACAGATGCTCCCGGCTGAGCAGATCAATGAAAAACAATCTCACCTCTGAGGTACATTGATTCACAGTAAAGGATTAGTCTGACCATCATTATCTATCTGATGCTAACACAGGAGGGGTTTGAATCCTGCAGTAAAAAGCAGTGTTGTAAAGCAACTAAGTACATTTACTCAAGTCAAGTGCTGCACTTAAGTACAAATTTGAGGTACGGATGATTTACTGTCGTATTTCTTGTCACATTATACTTACATTTTGAGGATATTGCGGTACTTTTAACCCCAGATTACAGATTAAGATTGTACATACAAATGATACGATGATCTTGTAAAACGTGATGTACTATTACGGAATAAAAAAAGATAATCTTCACTTTTGCTAATAATACTTACATACTTTCACTTGAGTGGCGTTTTCAATGAAGGAATTTTACTTGGAAAGAGGTAGTTTTATATCACAGTGTTGCAACTCAATGGTTACATTTGACTCCTTTTAGGCCAAGGATTAAGTATTATTACGCCATCAGAGTTTGAAGCCTGGCATTACAGAGCAGGCTTTGACACAGCAGACCTTAACTGAATAAATGAAACAAGAACAGTCCAATCTTTTGAGACGTGGGGAGGATTTTGGGGCACTTGGACTCAGGACCATGGTATTTCTAGAATCCTGGCCATGAGAGTATCTACACTGTAAACATTTGAACATTTCTGTCAAAAATGTAAAGTGTACATCACAGCGACTGAGAGCCATCTCAGACACAGAAATGCCATCAGCAATGAAACAATTCCCTCTCATTACTGATCGAGATATTGACTCCAAGCCATAATTAGCAGCAGTGGTGCGTGTCAAGAACAAAATGGTAACTCTATCTATTCAGTATACATGGCATGGATTGGGTGTGCGTGAGACACACATACATACATGAGCATTAGAAAGCGTTATGTAATGAAGAACGATGTGTCTCCTAATGTGTGTAATAATGTGAGCTGAATCAAATATAAGATGTAATAACGTGTTATTTTTGGCTGCTGCACAAACTGCTAAACTGTGTTGTAGCAAGTCAATTGTATGTAATTCACTGCTTATGTAGTTAGCTGCCATTAATCCAGACAAATCTTCTTTTTCACATCCTCAGTCTGCAGTATTGTCTGCTGTGAAATTGCACTGTTCTGCTCGGTCCCAGATCCTAAAGACCCATTCAAGATGCCTATCGGTGTCTCCTTTCATGTTTTACCTTTGTGACATAATTGCCACAAAAGGAGGTGGTGGCCACAATAACTTATTGTTGTTGTGTTGTTCACCTTCATCTGTTGTTCCTGAGGTTTCAAATTATTTTGGTGACTAAGCATACTTTTACTGACCATTTCAAAAGCTCTTTATCTAAAAAGGTATCCTTTGATGCACCAAGTAAGATTGTGCATGTTACAGGAATTTATTTATTTTGAAAAGATTTCATGGCATATCTGCTCTTTATTAGATTGTGTGGAGCTTGGAGAAAATGACATGAACTAAGAGACTGGGCCGCTGATACCTACCTTGATACATGAGCAGCCACGGCGCCCCACAATGTGTATCACAAGAGTGTCATTACAAAAGACTTTACAAGGTGAGCCTAGCTGGATGTTAAAATATCACAACCCATGTGTCCATTTTAGAACTGAAATATTTTCAAGTTAAAAGTACAATATATGCCAATTCTGCCCTCCTCTTGTTCCTCTGTTGATGTGATTTATGATTTAAAGCTGTGAGACGCTCAGTCATGCCCAGATTAAAATGGCTCTGAGTCAAACTTTTTTGTCAAAAGACCGTCTCAAGGGAGGATCAGTACTGCCAATGCCACAGCTAAAAGGCAACCATCAAAACATTGATACAAGGGATGGCAATAACATATTAGATACACATTCAGCTCATTTAAATGCAGATTCAATTTATGAACCCCCCCCCCTCTAAAAAAGATGTCAACAGTATCCCAACATTCCTGTCATTGTAACCAAGAGGCTTCATGCACGAATAAACTCTAAAATTGAGATAAAGAAGCGTACTTACAGTTTACAGCCAGGACTTCAAACAGTACACAAAGCACTAAAGATGACAGGTCCATGGTGAGACAATGGGGAGAGCAGTCAGCACGCAGAGTGAGGAATCACCTGTGTACTGCGTGTCTGATCTTAACGTGAGGCCACACACCTGCACGCTCAGGTTTCTTATAGTTCCTTAGTTCCTATTTCTGTTTCCATGGTCACCTCCCTTGTCCTGGACAGATATATAATTGAAGATTCCACAGCACGCCCCATGTCTCAACTCTTCCATGACTTACTCAAGCTGCCCTAAACTTCATCATTGTTTATTTAATCACCCAGTTGACTGCAGGCCCATTTAAGGTCCCACAAAAGGTTAAGCATAGACTATGTTTCTTGTGTTGCCAGTTGTATCCTGCAGTACAGTTACTGTAATATTGTAGCCCTGTCAGCTATGTCCAATATTTGACATTTTGCAGCTTGTGATTGAAGCTCAGGATATGGATCAAACGGGCCGCTATCCCCCTGAATGAAAGGAGATGCAGTAAGAGTCTCTGCAGCTCTTCATCGCTCTACCTTCTCCTCTCACTTATTTCCTCAGGAAGGATTAATGAGGGTTTTGACTAATGGAAAGCAGCAACGGCTTTTGTCTTTGACTACATTGAGCCAGCGCTGCTGCTCCACATCTATTTTAGGAGTGGGTGTCATTAAAAATGGAGCACAGCTCAGACAGGTCTTGTCACTGCTACAATCCCTCTGTGGAGGTCCTGACCTCAGCTGGCTAATAGCCCTCTTTGTCGCCCTCTGTGCTACTGATAGCTGTGCTCTCACATCCCCAGAGTGCTGACCATTGCCTTTTGTCCCGCAATATCCCCTCTTCAGTCCAAGTTCTGTCATCATAGCACGTGGCTGCCAGCGGTCTCACATTCGTCCACCTGGCCGTAGCTTAAATTGTATTACATCTGTTACACTTGACAAAGGTTATAAACAAAACTCATCCTGAATGATTTTAGATGAGCTTGAGGATGGAAGTTAGTCTGTGTTGTTTTTAATTACTGACATTAGAAAAGACAACAACTAGAAAAATCCCTTAAAAAATAACTAATTTATGACACTGTGACAAAATGTTCACTGGCAAGGAGACATAGAGATACTCGTGGTTTACAGTATTGAATGGGGTGACGCTGACGTGTTTTCAGTGTGTCACTGTCATTACTTCTCATAAAGCACCAATTACTGTGCTGGCTTCCTGATGCATTTTGTCCTTGGAGAAAGGGTCTTCAGTTACAAATCTATTTGGCTAGTCAAAGGGGAATTCCTATGAGGTTATATATATATACACAAGTATTAGTATTATTAGTTGGTATTATATTAAGCCTATTTGTAAATCACTAATCCAGTCCTATGTTAAATGTAGCATTTTGAAGCCATGGTCATACAGTATCTGTAGCTAACAGTTTGATAAATCAGAACTAACGTGTTTAACAAACATGGGTGTAGTATAGCGGTACAGCGTGTGAATTGTTTGCCTATTGTAATGGAGAGAACTGAATGTACTACCAGAGAGTAATCTGAGTGCCGAGGTGAAATATTCTTTGAATTTTCTAAATGTAATTCATACAGATGTTTTTTACCTTGTTTTTGGTCAGTTGCAACGTGGTGTTGTATGTAGACACTATCCTTAACCCAGCCAAATGACAACATGTATCAATGTCTGTGTGTTGATTTGTAAATGAGACACGTTTGTTTATGAATATAAAATTAACTACAAAACCCAGAGTGTACTGCTATTCAGGTTTCTAAGTTCATTGATGCATTTTAATTGTGTCACTGTGATTCTTTATTAAAAATAATTATATCCACTACAGACACATAAGAATCAAGCTAATTAATACAAGCAAATCTAATCACGTCAACATGGTTATAACATTTACTGTATTCTGTCCATAATATGGTGATGGTGATGACCACCTAAAGGCGTTCCCATCCCAAATATCTTCATATCCCAAGGTGCAAGCAGATAACTAGAGCTTAGAAACAGTCATAATACACAAGAACACTTTAGCTTTGTCATGTTGTAGGTCATTTTCATTGTTGCAGCGTGAGATGGCACAAAACAAGACGAAAAGATCATTTTAACAAAAGATTTGAACATGGATACAATTACACTATAAAAGGCAACTAGAGAGCACTGATCTCACCAGTTGGACATACTCTGAAGGTTGCTGTGTCTGGGCTCACAGGTACGTAGAAGGTGATTCTAATCTTTAATAATTCAGGGCCGTACCCTCTATCACCAGTTTATTTTGTGGAATAAATGTTTAAATTGCATTATCATTCATTTAGTCATACATAGTCTAATGAGGGATCAACTGAGAGGAAATAAGGCAACAAAGTTGTACGTGTATAGCCTAACCATAATTAGCGACAATTCTTTTTCTTTTATTTCACACAAACACAATTAGATTAGATCAGGATTGTCAAAGTAATTAATTTAGTTGGCACTTATACACTGTGTATAATGTGCTTCTAAAAATGTTTCTGCATTACAGATGATAAATAAAAACATGGCTCTGCTGCAAAGCTCAACTGTGCTGTTGTTTTTGGCAGTCTCTGTGTCAGGTAAGTTCCTCAATCCCAAAATGTTTATACCTGAGTGCGTAATAAAAGGTATGAAATCCTGCTCAACATGTAGAACCACGTTGAAAGGGGCATTTACAGAACACTGGCTGACGTCAGGGTGAAAAAAGGAATTGTATTTATCCTATATCAAGAGTAATGGATATACCAAAACTCGGCCAACGGGGCCTTGAGACTCTCCAACCTCTCTTTAAGATTATAAAGAGCACAGAGCATTAAATATGAAATCAATTTGACATTTTTTGTAAAGAAAAATAAGTTACAGGGCACCTGTTCTCACTGTCTTCAGAGACCTTTGCACAGAGAATTATTGGGGGACAGGAGGTCACGCCCTACTCTATCAAATACCAGGCATCCTTGCAGTCCCGCGTTGGACAACACTACTGTGGAGGAACCTTAGTGCACCCTCAGTGGGTGGTCTCTGCTGCCCACTGCTGGAGACCGTAAGTACTGACACCATAAAATGAGGGAAGCATTGCTACAGTGAAGAAGTTAAATTGGCATTTTACTGTATTTTACAGTTAAAGGGTCGACACTGAATCACCTTTTGTCTGTTTTTCGCCATTAGGACAAGTCAGATGAAGGTGGTGCTGAGTGAACACAACCTGAATAAACCTGAGGGATTTGAACAGGTTTTTGAAGTCTTACAGATATTTTTCAGCAACTATAAATACAGGACATTCGACAACGACATCATGCTCATCAAGGCAAGTATAGGAGAGCCAGCCTGAAATATTGGGGCTCTTGACACATGCATACACTCTTCACTCGTGTTCGTAATTGATGAATAATGCCATTGCTTGGTGTGCATATGTAAGCCTGAACTTTAATTTGTGTTACAGCTGGATAGACCAGCACGGCTGAATGCCAATGTCCAGCCAGCTGTTTTGCCAGTTGTTAATAGCCGTCCTCTACGTTACAATGACGTCTGCACGGTCAGCGGCTGGGGTGTGACACAGATTTACAGTAGCTACCTCTCTCCTGCGCTACGTTCTGTGGACGTGAGACCTATATCTTTATGCCATTATTATTACTGGGGGATGATCACTACAAACATGTTGTGTGCTGGATCTCGATGGGGTGGCAAAGATTCCTGCCAGGTACAAAAACATTTCCTGTTGCATGGTCGGTGGATTGGGCGCTTGTGTTAAATGCTTTCACTGTTGCTTAATAACAATGCTGCATAATGTTTTCTTGCATATTACATATTATTTTATTATAATAATTAATATTTCCCTTTTTATTGCCCCTGCATGCTGTGTATTGTATGTTTCTGCGTTGCATGGTTTAATTAGTGCAGTACAATGTAGCATAATGATGCCCTGTGCAGCCGTGGTACATTTACCGTACTGTACTTAAGCACAGTTTTGATGCTATTAGTCAGAATCCAATAATACTATTTACACCAAAGAGGAATAGACAATGTGGCTTTTACACCCAAGTGCTATAGCAGGACAAAGACAAGCAACCAGGTGTCCATCGTTAATGCTATTTACACTTGACCTGGGCACACATTAATAATGTATGTATATGTAGCCTACTGTAGGCTATGTATATTTTTCCTAAACATAACCAAGTAGTTTTATTTCCTAAACATAAGCAAACTGTGACTGAACACTTAAAGGATGAATAATTAAAATCAGTGTAAAGTGTAAAAATACACTGAACAAACCCCAGTTTCCTGAATGAAAGTCCTGAGTTTGACCCATTAATCGTCACCCAACCTACTCTCTATATACGCTCTTTATGCCACTATTACTATGACTACTAAAGTTTTCTGCAGAAAGCCTTTCTGTTAGCTGACTATTGCTAAATGAAGTAGCATATTCAACTTGGCCCGGTGTAAATAGCAGAATTGCTGCGGTGTCACCAGCCCGGATGCAAAAACACACCCAATTACATTTTTATGTTACTTTATACCTTCTACTTCAGTGTAACTCTTTGAGGCACATACTTTTTATTTCACTACATTTATCTGACAACTTTAATTACTTTGCAGATTCACATTACTAACACACAATATAATTGACAAATATGATATGCTACATAAACAAAGCTCATATTACAACACATACAGATGGCGTGTGACTTCATTCTCTGCTGAGTACGCTATTACTCCACTATATCTTTACATTGCCAATAGTTGTTTGCTGCTATATGAATGCTCTGATTGTAGTATAAAGAACCTTTCAGTAACATGATATCACCACAGCTGTGTAGTGCATGTTGTCACTACTATGATCCCTTTTTTCATTATTACTTGTATCCTATTTCAGTAACTATTTTAGTTTATTTTGTTTGTCATCGCTAATGTGTCTTTGTGATCCACAGGGTGACTCTGGTGGTCCCCTTATTTGCAATGGCAAATTCGAGGGCATTGTCTCCTGGGGTATCAGCTGCGCAAACCCATACTACCCTGGAGTCTACACCAAAGTGAGGAATTACATCAACTGGATCAAAAGGATAATCAAATATAAAACATAATGAACAGTTGCCACAATCAAACAGCTGATTCACAACATTATGTTTAATGGCTTATTTTGTCACAAATGACTCTCTCTGTGTTTCGTACTAATTGTCAATATTACACATTGTTTAATTGCAATTCATGTTAGGATATGTTATATAGAGCCATGGTTATAAGTCATTTTTAGATATTTCCAGGTTTCCAAGAAATGTGTTGATATGCTTGCAATTCATTGATTTTTCGTCCATTGTTCTGATAGAGAAATAAGATAGAGAAATAAAGCCATTGTTATTATTTTATCATCATTATTATTATTATTATTATTATCATTATTGTAGTAGTTGTAGCACATATGTTAAAGCAGCTTAATCAGTAGAGTTGGGCAATGTGGTTAAAATTATTGATAATATTGAATTAACACCTAATTCATTGAATTTTTTTCAATACATACCAAAGTCCTGGGTCCTTTTCTAAAGTTACTACAAGCACTGAATCAATGAGTAAAGCATCCACAGTGACAATAAAGATGAGTTCTTATGAGGATATGATGAATCTCTTGCATGGCATCACAAGAATCAAAACAGTTAATGAATTACATTCTCACATACTGCATCCACAATGTTATGTCTAAACAAAAGCCATGAAGAAGACAACTGGATCAAAATACTTTATCATGAGCCCTAAAAGGCCAAAAGAGTTCAATGAGCTTAGAACAGAGTTCAGAGTAGGAGCATCCCTCATGGCAAAGAATAAGGAACGGTCATTACCAGTAAGTCATTATTTCTGCCGATTGAATTTCATAAAGCTGTCCATGCATTTATGACGTAGACAATACTTCAACATTGCTGATAGACTCTTCCGATGATTTATTTTGGAAACAAGTAAAAGAAAAACTGGTATGTTGTCCAAAACAATGGCTCAGCTGCTTATGTAGATTAGTTGTTCTAAATCAGAGCTCAGACTTGCACACTTCTGGCCATTAACACTGATCACAGCTTAGCTATTCAATTGACTATACCAATATGTACTAATGTCTAAGTGTACCTTACCTCTTTTACTCCAAGTTATGCATACATGTTTGACCATTTTTGATAGATACAGCACACATAAGTGTTTACATAATCTAGCCATTGCAAATTATGTCTGTTTGGTATAAAAATCAATTAGCAGACAGCAAACTCGATTTAAATTGCGACTTGAATGACCTCTCAATTGCAGTTTTCCGTGTTGGATATTGTTTCTTTCGGATTGGCCTACAAAAATACGTCATCTTCGTCGCCTGACATTCTCGCGCATGCTCAGTAACAGCTGTTTTGTTTACCATAACGCTGTCCTTGCCTGAGGTACCCGAGGACAGCCTGACACAAGCGGAGCACAGCCTTTTGGCCCTCCGGGTGAATTATGTCTGTGAAACACGCTATTAGCCGGGGGCTCGAGTTGGGCCGGTCGGTCTTTCAGCTGGGTCTCCTCAAATCGGGTGGCCGGTTCGCAGCAAAGCTCCGAGCTGACCGTGTAGGGCCGTCGGCCCGCACCGTTCAGCCTCAGGCTTTCCTGCCGTCTCGGTACCGCTATTTCCGCACCTCTCTGAAGGGCCTGGCCGCCCAGCTTCAGTCCGCCGGTTTCAGGAGAAGGTTTGGCGGCGGGTCCCCGCGGAACAGGGCCGTGTTTTTGGCTTTCGGTCTCGGCGTGGGGCTCATCGAACAACAGCTTGAAGATGACAGCAGGAGTGCGGCGACATGTGATGAGATCCAGGTATGCTGTCCCTACGTAAAGTGTTGTTCTTAGTAACACTACTGTGCTAAAGTAGTTTTGGAGTACTTGTAACGTTAATTTACTTGGGTATTTTCATGTTATGCTACTTCTAATCCACTACATTTAACTGACAACAACCATATTTACTTTATTTTCTTGCCGATTGAGATTTTATATACAAAACACAATTGTAAAAATTATACATTGTTGTTCACAAAGTTGTTCACCTGCTTTGCACTAATTGCCTACTACTGCTTCTACTACTACTACTAGAACTATTACTACTACTATTACTGCTTCTACTACTACTACTATTACTGGTACTACTATTACTACTAGTAGTGTGATGCTTTTGAAGTCATAGCCAGTTGATGTGGTTAAGTCTGTAAACGCCTTTTGATAACATCTATATTTATTATGTGTTGAGAAATATTTCTGTGTTAAAGCTCCAAAAACTTTATTGGACTTCAACTGGTCGAATGTGCACACATCTACCTTTCTGCATCTTCTTGTTTTTCTGCAAAATATTTCTCCCCATTTGCAGGCGGTGTTCAGGAAGAAAAGATTCCAGAGGCCATTCAAGCCATGCACCTCTGGGTATAAACTGGAGGATTACATTATCGGTAGTCAGATTGGGAAAGGCTCCAATGCTGCTGTGTACGAGGCTGCGGCTCAGTTTGCCCCTCAGGAGAGTAACAGCAAGTGCTCCCTGGTTCAGCTGGGAGAAGATGAAGAGGAGACGGCTCGATCTCCGACATGCTGCTCGCTTAGAAACTTCCCTATGGCTATCAAGATGATGTGGAACTTTGGGGTCGGTATTCCACAATATTCTACACTTCCCCCCCCCCCCCCCCCACAATGTTAGGTGTTAGGCAAACAGATGACCGGAACAAATCAGCGCTGACAGGTATTTTTGATGCCATTTGTTTGCAGGCAGGGTCGTCAAGTGAGGCGATATTAAAGTCCATGTCACAGGAGCTGGTGCCTGCAGGCCCCCTGGCCCTAAAGCTGGAGAAAGAAGAAATCACTCTGGATGGGTACGTGTTACACTTTCAGTGCTTTTGTCGGTCATTCCTAGTCCTGGAGACCTGAACACGGTGTAGGAAGGAATGCTGAACTGCTGTGATCTCTCTACATGCAGACATTTTGGAGTCCTGCCCAAGAGAGTGTTGGCACACCCGAATGTGATCAGAGTGCACCGGGCTTTCACAGCGGACGTCCCATTGCTACCAGGTGCTGAAGAAGAGTATCCAGCCGTGCTGCCAGCCCGGCTTAACCCTGCTGGTTTGGGCAACAATCGCACTCTTTTCCTCGTCATGAAGAAGTAAGACCTGCCATCTTTCACCCTCTCACAATGATTTCATTTATTTTTACTATTGCTAATAATATGCAGGCCATACATGGTATCAAATAGTGGCTTTGATTTCATGAAAATCTTACAGGATTACAACTTTAAGAGGTGTATACAAGAAAACCTGAGGCATGCAGTTGAGTAGGACTAATATGCTGTCTTCTTCCGTGCTGTAGCTACCCGTCCACACTGCGTCAGTACCTGGAAGTGTCCACACCAGGCCGCAGGCAGGGCTCTCTGATGGTGCTGCAGCTCCTCGAGGGGGTTGACCACCTGTGCAGACAGGGTGTTGCTCACAGGGATCTCAAATCAGACAATGTGCTGTTGGAGTTTGACTCGGGTTAGATCGACATTAAGTCATTAAGAGAACAATCCAGACATCAATTAGAGATCTGATTCCATCAGTTCTATGTAAAACAGTTAAATTGATTTTGCTTTTATGCAGACGGATGCCCTCGTTTAGTGATTACTGACTTTGGCTGCTGCCTGTCACAGAGTGACTCTAATCTACAGCTGCCATTCAACAGCATATGGGTCAACAGAGGCGGGAATGCCTCCCTCATGGCCCCCGAGGTAGGCTTAAGTAGCTCTTGATGGAACCTTTCACAGTTTGTATACAATGGCGATGCACAAAAGTGTGCGCATGCAGTTTGGCAACGGACGTACGGTGGAGAGCCATAGCTTGTCAAGCTATGCGAGGCCATTAACCACCAAAGATCATGAATGAACCTACACATTTATTATATTTTTGAAACCATACAAAAGGAACAAACATATGACAAAAGTTTCACAGACCAAGAAAAACAACCACTTGTACAATAATACAAGTCATTACAGTTGATCGTAATTTTACTTTTCTTGAATAACCACACATTAAATTCCTATCATGATGCGTCTGCCCAAAGGTGGCCACTGCAGTTCCAGGGTGTGGTGTGGTGATTGACTACAGCAAGGCGGATGCCTGGGCAGTGGGGGCCATCTCCTATGAGATATTCGGCCAGCCTAACCCATTCTATCGAGCTGTGGGACTGGAGAGCAGGAACTACCAGGAGAAGCAGCTTCCTCCTCTGCCCTCTGGCGTTTCAGCTGATGTGCAGTTAGTGATCCGATTCCTCCTCAGCAGGAGCCCAAGCAAGGTAATATATATATATATATATATATATATATATATATATATACTGTAAGTTAACAATTTAATCATAAACACATTGGTTGTATAGGTGTGAATGGTGATTACACAGCCTGCTCAGTTAAATCCCCTGCAGACTGCGTGGACACCACCCACTGAGAAGTGGTTTCAAATAAAAATGTATTCTGATTCAGATACAGCCCTGCTACAATACATTTATACTGTATGTTAATTGTCACTCTGCAGCGCCCCAGTGCCCGTGTGGCAGCTAACATGCTACATCTTAGCCTCTGGGGACGGAAGGCCTTGGCCAACCACGACAGCGTTGGCATGAGGAAGCTGGCCGATTGGCTGCTGTGTCAGTCTGCTGTGGTCCTCCTGAAGGGCTGCGGTGGACCCAGTGGCAACATGGTGGAGGCGGAGCTTCAGAGGAGCTTCCTGTCTAACCTGGACCTGGAGGACCTGCGCACCGCTGTGGGCTTCCTCCTGTATGGACGAGAGCAGCAGCAGACCTGCATTCTGTCTGCATAAATCCACTCCCACTCATTCAGACACACAGCTTAGGAGTGAATGAGAGTGAATATTTTCTTTTACAAGCTCTAATGCACTTTAGATATTTGCTGGGAAATACCCTAAGCTACGGTTATTGTTCCCTGTGTGTTTGATTAAAATTTGTCTGTGTTGAGGTTTCTGGCTGATGAAGGTGAAGGTAAAAGCAGATCATTTAAATTAGAGTAAAAAGTGCATAATTTAGGCCCTACTGTGTAGGGCAACATTAAGTTTGACATATTCACAGGTAACATGCAGCCCTTACACAACTAGTTTGTCCATCAAACTGTCAGCTAAAAACTAGTTGGGTGTCTGTGGCCCTAACAATCTATTAATTTCCTATTTAAAATGCATGAAAGAACACCCCAACATGTTACTACATAGTTATTTTAATAATAATGGTAGGTGGCATGGATAATGCAGATTATTGGCCGACTTTAAGGATGTGATTTTGTTTCATTTATGTTCCAGTGGTTTGCACTTTCTCAGAGCAATTATTATGGTTTACTGGTGTTTGTTTGTTGTATTCTAGTAAATTATATATAAAAAGAATGATGATTTGAATAATGTTTTAACCCTTCACACTTCACTATGATCTGTTAGATCTCAAAACAAGTCACAGCAAGCCTACACATTTGGCACCATGACAGGCATACAATATACAGGGTGTGTAAGTTTTCTTACTGAAGATGGTGAAAAATATTTTAGATACACGTAGATGTTTTTCTGCAGTTTCAGAATAAAAGTACCTGTCTGAAAAGACGTATGAATGGATTTGTGCAAATTATTGCTTTCTAGGTTTACATCTCTGAGAGTCAAGTGAATTTACATACATTTATCAATTTCAAAAGGTTGGTGGCTAAAACATAAGATGTTCTAGCAACAGATGGGGGGGGGGGGGGACAGTGGTCATCTGGCAAAGGGAAGCAATAGCTCAAATATGTTGACAGGTTTTTAACTCTAAATATAGCACATTTAATGTTGAGATTAAATAGTAATATCAAGAGTATCTAGTTTCCGTATCTTTAAGTATTTCAGGATAGGCAGGCGGGTTGTAACGTTGGAGAGAGTTAGGTTTGATCATACCATACTGTTGTGAGATAGCTAATGTTTTATCTTAGCTCTCTCCAGTCTCTAGCTCTGTGCCAGTAAAAGTTGCAGATTGATTGATGGATGGATGTCATATTATTTGTTGAAATCAGTTGGTACTAGCCTACATAGGCACACATACAGCTGGTCATATTGCTTTATAGGTGAAAAAGATGATTGGAATTTACTTAGCTTATAGTGTTAAATAGGTGCACGAAATGACGGGATGTGATTTAAAAGGGTTGAAAAGGCCTTCATCTTGACTAAAAGTAGAACTCAAACACTGTGTACTGCAAAACTTGACATGCAATTTACTACGGGGGGGTTTGTTTTTTCTGCACAGCTACTGCACAGTACAGTTTTCACATCGGGTGATATCCGAAGATATAGAATTAAGTATTTCAAGATTATGGACAAACCACCTGCAACTAATCGTTTCTCGTCAGTATTCACAAAAATATTAAGTAAAAAGAAGGTTTAATAAATAACACAAAACAACTTATCTTTACAGAAACTTTATTTAGGACAGAGCCAAACTGACATTTTAATGACTGACTCTGAACATATGCAAGCTGGTAATGAATAGACAATAGACACTGTTTGGAATGTGCTTAAGAACAAATTAAGACATTTGTTTCGAGTTTAACTGGTGCTTTTATGTTCCTTTTAGTATTCCTCTCCCTCTTCCTCTCCCTCACCCTCAATAGAGTCGACTCCAACCTCCTCATAATCCTTCTCCAGAGCTGCCATGTCCTCTCTGGCCTCAGAGAACTCTCCCTCCTCCATACCCTCTCCCACATACCAGTGCACAAAGGCACGCTTAGCGTACATCAGGTCAAACTTGTGGTCAAGCCGAGCCCAGGCCTCTGCAATAGCAGTGGTGTTGCTCAGCATGCACACGGCCCTCTGGACCTTGGCCAGGTCTCCACCAGGAACTACAGTGGGGGGCTGGTAGTTGATGCCAACCTTGAAACCAGTGGGGCACCAGTCCACAAACTGGATGGAGCGCTTGGTTTTGATGGTGGCAATGGCAGCATTAACATCTTTGGGCACCACATCACCACGATACAAAAGGCAACAAGCCATGTATTTGCCGTGGCGAGGGTCGCATTTTACCAATTGATTGGCTGGTTCAAAGCAGGAGTTGGTGATTTCTGACACTGAGAGCTGCTCATGGTAAGCTTTCTCAGCAGAGATGACGGGGGCATAGGTGGCCAGAGGGAAGTGGATACGGGGATATGGCACCAAGTTGGTCTGGAACTCGGTCAGATCAACATTGAGGGCGCCGTCGAAACGAAGGGAAGCAGTGATGGAGGACACAATCTGACTGATTAACCTGTTCAGGTTGGTGTAAGAGGGACGCTCGATATCGAGGTTTCTACGGCAGATATCGTAGATGGCCTCGTTATCTACCATGAAGGCACAGTCGGAATGCTCCAGGGTGGTGTGGGTGGTCAGGATGGCGTTGTACGGCTCTACCACAGCGGTGGACACCTGGGGAGCTGGGTAGATGGAGAACTCCAGCTTGGACTTCTTGCCGTAGTCGACAGACAGACGCTCCATCAGCAGAGAGGTGAAACCAGAGCCGGTGCCACCTCCGAAGCTGTGGAAAACCAGGAAGCCCTGAAGGCCGGTGCACTGGTCCGACTGAGGACAGAGAGGGAGAGACAGTGATTTGACTCGAGATACAGCTATATCATTTCATTTGATATTTTAACAAAAAATAAAATCTGGAATTAATCCCTCCTATGTTACCCACCAGTTTGCGGACCCTGTCCAGCACTATGTCGATGATCTCTTTGCCGATGGTGTAGTGTCCACGGGCGTAATTGTTGGCAGCATCCTCCTTACCAGTGATCAGCTGCTCAGGGTGGAACAGCTGGCGGTAGGTACCAGTGCGCACCTCATCTAAGGAGACAGATCCAATCAGAAATGAATTGAGGGATTGGCTAAATTAACTCATGACACAACTGTGTTTTCTATATTTCGTGAGTGTTTACCGATGACGGTGGGCTCCAGATCCACAAAAACAGCCCTGGGGACGTGCTTTCCAGCTCCGGTCTCACTGAAGAAGGTGTTGAAGGAGTCGTCTCCTCCTCCGATAGCTTTGTCACTGGGCATTTGTCCGTCTGGCTGGATCCCATGTTCCAGGCAGTAAAGCTCCCAGCAGGCATTGCCAATCTGGACACCAGCCTGACCGACGTGGATGGAGATACACTCACGCTGGAGTGGGGAGAAAGAAGATTTGGATTAATAAATAAATTATAATAATAAATAATATTGAATCTTGCAGTGCTTACAAAGGAAACCACAACCAGTGCTGCTAATTAAAATGGAGGATTGTCTCTGAGAGATTTAAATGGACCTTTAAATGGACGCTATATACAGATCAGCACAAACTGCTTTGAATAATTCTTACCTCATTGCATGAAAGGCTTTCATTGTTACACCAGAGTCTATTATCTATGATATCTTGTCTGACTGGGGTTCAGTCTGTTATGTTTTACACGAGCCCATTCATTTTCTGCTGCGACACGAGACGGCCTGGGATTACTGTGCGGAGAGGATTATCTAGGTCAGACACGATGCAGAGCTGTCTCCTCAAAAAGCCACATTCCCACTAACATTTACGTGTCATTTTTCATTTCTATTTTATTTTATTGTAGAATATTTACAAAATAGAGATCAGATTTTAAAGGTGGCTTCATTTGATGTGACGCACAAAGACAGCCAACGGGATTTATCGGTGCACAGGAAATAATCTTCAGAAACAGGACAGGTGAATTGATGGAACATATATTAATATAAAAGCTCTGATATAAAAACTGCACAAACTGGTACGTTAGTGTGAAACCAAAGCTATCTGAGAAGATTCAGACGGGTTATTTGTATTGGGCGTTTTGTCGTGCAGGAATGCACACGTGAAACCCTCGTTTTTTGTTTTTGTTTTGTCATATAGCAGGATTATGGACAATGAAACGATTTATAGTCATTGTGGGCTGCAGAATATGTCGGGACATCAAAAGGTACATTTGGATAAATCTCGTATAGACGAACTATTCTTCTCCCCATCCATTTTGATGTAGTTTAGACTACAATCGATAAACAATACATCTGGGAATAAAAATGTTAGAAATGATATTTAAAATCGCACTTACCATGATGGCTTGTCGCTATTATGCAATGTAATGAGACAAGTCTGAGGAGTGTTTGCGTCTGAGCTGCGCGGTGTCTGAAGCGGATCTGCTGATGCTGACGCACACTCTGCCTCTGGAGGACGACAGGTGAAGTGCGCATGTGAACCTTCTCCTTCTGCCGCAGTAACACGTCCACGTTTCACGTCCACAACCACACTTTGGTTGAGATACGGCTTTGTGGTGATGATTTGGTCCAGCGGGCTACACGTCCAATAGATTCAAAAATAGGAGAACTAGAATATTTCATGTATATGTTATCTAATAGGATACACTTAACGACTGTCTACATTTTGCTGAACGTTTTTAATAAAAGGCCATGATGTTGAATACACTCAGCTAATGCGTCACATTGTCTTGAATGTGGAGCCAATAAAAATAGCCCTACACAATTCTTGAGCATCAATATTGTGCTTTTTTTAAATTGAGGTTGTGACTTAATAGCAGCTATTTATGTCACAGTACTGGCTACTGACCAGTAATTTACTGTAAATGTACAGTCAAATATTTTACATTGTACAGTTTACACATGAATTCTACAGCAGCATCCAGAAAAATCACTGCAACCTGCACATAAAGTGAAGTTACAGTTAAGTACAGCAATTCTACAGTAGCATACCGATTTATTTACAGTAATCTGGTAGACATTTATTGTGAAGTTACAGTTAATTACAGTAATTCTATAGCAACATACTTCTAAATCACTGTAATATACTGGCATTGTTACTGTGAAGTCAAAGTAAACAGCTGTCATTAACAATAATTGACTGTGAAAATGATAAAATACCTTGCTGTGAAAATATAGCAACTATAGCCAGTAATTTGCTGTGAATTCACAGTCAAATTCTAATATTTACATATAAACACAAGGCAACGTTATTACCAAAATAACAAACATGTAAAACTAACATGTTAAACAGTAGTGTATATATAAACTATGAATTTATAATCTACTAGCATTGCTTGGCCTTATGGGGTTACTGCACATTTGTCTGGGCACTGTGGACTGATGTTCACTGTTCATCAGTGATGGCCTGCAGGAAGAAACAGTTGTTACAGTGTTCTGTGGTGCCTATCAGATGGGGGAAGTGTGTGCACAAGCTGTGTCCAACTGTGAAGGGCCTGCAGTGATTTCATTATAATTTCTATATCATAATTTTGCTAACTCTGATTTGCTAACTCATAATTTTGACTTGCTATATTGTAATTGTTACTTTGAAACTCAAAACTTTCACTTACTATATCCTAATGTTGACTTACCAAGAGTGTTCATTATGCATAAATTAGTCAAAAACAAAAGTCTAAATGTTGACTTCTTTCATTATTATTATTTTTTAATTATTTATCGTGTCAAAAAAAATCTCAAATTCTCAAACCTCAAAAATCTTACCATCCTTACCGTTTTTCAGTCAGTAACTCGTAGCTAAATGAGTTACTTTTACACATGCTGCCACTCCCACAGCTCCGTGACATTTCAGCCTATCGATGAACTCATGCTGCCTTCACGCACACAACCATTTCGTAATTTTGAAAACCACGAGCAGATGAATGAACGACGCGAAAAGTAGCTAAAATGTATATCTCTCCCGAGGTGATGTGACACATGTAGCATTTATGTGATGATCAAAGATGGTACAATCAACACAGCAGCGTATGGTCATTTTAAGTAGACATTTAATACCATCGGGGTGTACTTTTAGTCATCTCCTGTACGGCTAATACAGAATGTTCCGAGCTAGGAAACACTTAAGTCAGCAGCAGAAGTCCCGTCATCACACAACTCACACAGCTCCACATCACACTCATAACTCACAGCGATGCGTTCGTTTTGGAGAAACCTCAATGTAACTCGCGCTGTTGCTCACAATGGGACTGCAGCGGACTTCTACTCCCTACGGCCACGTCAGACTTTGGCTCTGTGCATAAATCCCAACAGGGAGTGCTCGGGGAAACGTTACAATGTGCCACCGAGCGCCGAGTTTGTTGCACGGGTGTCGGGGATCCCCACCATGGCCAAGTTACCGCACCAGGAGACAGCGGACGGGCTCGATGCGGCGTTTATCGGGGTCCCAATAGATACCGGGACGTCCAACCGACCCGGAGCAAGGTGGGGGAGGGTTCTTTCTCTCCAGCAGCCTGTTGCTCTTGGCTATAATTAGCCGATAAGTAGTTGGACCATTTCGTTTATTAGAAAGTTAAAAAATAACAAACATTTCACATAAAGCATATGACAGATTTAAAACAAATCAGCAAATTGCATCAATCAGAGAGCTGTGCATTCAGATGTCAAATGATTTTTTTACAATCTTGCATTCAACATGTCTCTGTAGCTCACGCCAAGATGGTGCAAACACTTTAGAAGCGCTTGGGTGTGGGTAGTAATGACTGACATAACTTGTCTGCATGATCAGAGGTTGCAGCTACTAATGTTTTTTGGCGTTAGTATAACATAGACATTATACAGTATCAGTGTTCCATTGTATGGTTGTACAGTGAGGTAAACAAAAAACGTTCTTATATAAACTGCAATGAGTTGTGCAATATCCAAATCAGAGACAAATTGCTACACATGTTGCTGTCAGATGAATGTAGTTTGGTAAGTACACAATTCCCTTGTCAAATAAAGTGCTGAAGAAGTGTCTTAAAATTGAAATAGGCCTGTTAAAAAAAAAACGAAATTACCTTGAAAACTGTACTTAAGTATTGTATTAGAGTAAATGTACTTTGTTAATAACAAACGGGGTCTAACTGACCACCCTGTTTTAATGAACGGGGTCTTCTCAGAGAGCTCGTTCTTGTCAAGCTGGTGTAGCGGAAGTCCACCGAGAGTTTAATACAACAATAATAAACTTCTTTCAGGAACTGCTCTCTCAACCCAAAGGTCACTTATTGGTAGAACACTCAAGTTACCATGTGTCTGGACATACTCAGAGCAGATAAGACTAGATAAGGACTTGGGGTCACGCTTGACACTCAGAGCTTTGGCATTAGCCAACACATACTTGAAATGGAATACAGAAGCTTTGTTGAATACATTTTATCATTAACATACCAGCTTGGTACAGCACATAAAGAGCGAAAACAAGCTCTCCAAGATTGTTAGAATGGCAGAGAAGGTGATTGGCAAGTCACAGAAACAACTTTACGATACATTGGACAGAGCAGTACACAGAAAGGTTCAACACATGACTGCAGATGTACCTCACAGCCACTACACTCAGAGTTTGAGCTGCTCCCGTCTGGCCTTTGATTTAGGCTCCCAAAGGTCACCGGGGGCAGACTGTCAGACCCTGCTGCAGTAAAATGAGAGCTTTTCCAGAGGGACTCTGGTGCTTGGAAAACTACCACTTTCGTTCACAGGGTGCACCAGAATCAACACAAAATGAAAGTTCCTTCGTAGCTTTAAGTATATTTAAGTAAATCTTAATGGTGTCTCCAAATAGTACAGTCAAGTTCATTTGGTTGTGTTTTGAGTTTTAGTAGCACTTATGATGAACCTTGTTAGTACATCAAAAATAGCACACTTTTATAGTACATGGCTAACAATGACTAATTATACTTAATTAAGACGACTTCACTTCACCTGGGTACATATTTTGAACACAGAATGACAGCAGAGGACACTTGTTATTTTGTAAGATGTGCTCTCTTTTATTATTTATACAACCTGCTGCTACCTGCCCAATTACATCATTGTATACTGTATTTGTGTGTTTTAATGGTGTTTTGTGTTGATGTGTATTGCATGTACTTTTGGTATCCACTGAGGTGGACATAACTCAAATCTATCTCGTATAATAACCGTCCTTAACAATCCAGTTTGCATCACAGCATTGACATTAAACCAGATCTTCCCTCCACCGCTGCAGGTTTGGTCCGAGGCAGATCAGAGTGGAATCTGCATTGTTGAGATCTTACAACAGTGGCACCAGGGCAGCACCTTACGAGTCGCTCATGGTGGCTGATATTGGGGACGTCAATGTGAATGTGTATGACCTTAAGGACACCTGCAAACGCATCAGGGACCACTACAGAAAGATCCTGGCTACTGGCTGTATTCCTCTGACTATGGGTGAGAGTGGCTAGAGGAACTAGAGAACCAAGAGGAACAAGAAGAACGTGTAGTGTTTTCACAGTCGAGACAGATAGTCAGTAATGGCTCAGTAAATATTTTAGATTAATTAAAGCAAGCTCTGCAATGTAGCCATTTAAATATCCCCATAAACTGCAGTTCATTCTGTTGTTGGTGTCTGCAGGTGGCGATCACACAATCGCATATCCAATCCTACAAGCTGTTGCTGAGCGGTAAGTAGGCTTTGTTTCACATGATATATTTAATCAGATTACCATTACACTGCCTGGACAAGTTTGAAGATGATGTTTTCATTGTGAACACAATGTTTTAAAAGACAGCAACTAAAAATTATTTTTATTGTCAATTAATCTGTTTAATCTTTTAGTCTATGAAAAGAAAAATAATAGTGAAAAAAGTCCTGAGAACTCAAGGTGAGATCTTGAGATGATTGACCAACAACAGTCCAAAACCCAAAGATATTCAATCTAAAATGATTAGAAAAATAATTCTAAAAAGCAGTAAATCCTCACATTTAAGAAGCTGGAACCAATAAAGATGTGGCATTTTTGGTATTGATCGATTGTTTGTAACTCCATTTCATTTTGATTTTGGTCAAATATGAATAATAATGACACGTGCAATTATCTGACCATATATAAAGACACAATACCAACTTTGACGATGCAGTGTTCAATTACTTTAAAAACACAGGTTTGTTTGTTTTCCTGTAAAGTAACAGTTTTTAACATGGAATATACCCATCAAAACATTTTGAACAAAGCTAAGACCAAATTGAAATCCGAACTCTTGACATTAACTACCTCTTGACCATTTCACACACGATGTTCTCCTGGCCTCATTGAGTCTGGTCTGTAATCATTTGTCAGGCATGGCCCAGTGGGTCTGGTCCATGTGGATGCTCATGCTGACACCAGTGATGTGGTCTTGGGGGAGAAGATTGGACACGGGACTCCGTTCAGACGTTGCGTGGAGGAAGGGCTACTGGACTGCAAGAGAGTGGTCCAGATCGGCCTGCGTGGTTCAGGCTACTCTGCAGATTCATATGAATGGAGCCGGGCACAGGTACCTTTGCTAGAATACTGGATGTCTTGCAAAAAACATAAGGCAATGCCTTAGACGAAGGCCAGCATTCATAGACAAAGTAATAGTAAGCAGTTTATCAATGCCATTATGTGTCATCACTGGTATGGTACATAATACATGAAGCACCTTGGTAAAAAAAAAAAGAATCTCATAATATACAGGTTCCGTCTGGAGAGTACTGATTAGAATAATACAGGGCTGTAACAAGTGATTGCTTTGCTGATTGTAAAAAAAAAACAAAAAAAAAACAAAAAAAAAAACAGTCCCAAACCCAAGATATTACATTTACTAAAATATTACCGATAAAAACACATCTGGGAACAAGCAACTTTTTGCCATTTTTGCTTGAAAAGTGACTGAATTGATGAATTGTTTATCAAAATAGTTGTCGATTAATTTGCTTTCGATCACGTAATTGATGAATCGACGAAGCTTGTAGCTCTAGATTAATGTGCTGCATTAGTGTGAAAATCTTGTTCTTAAATTATTATTTTTTTCTGCATCTGTTTTTCAAGTTTTTCATGTTTATTATATATGATAGGATTTTGACTTGTCTTGTACAACCAGCTGCCCTAAAGAGGCCATGTGGCCGTGTGTTGCAAACTGCCTTTTAAAAACCCCAGGTGAGACGCAGATTCTGAATGCGCTGTATACATGTCCAAACAATGCTTCTAAAACCTGAACACTATCGGCATATCTCACAAGTCTTAATCGGAAAATGCTCCATTTGGAGTAAAGCCTGTTTCGAAATATCTTAAGGGAATATTCAGTTTACAGTGTCTTCCTACATGACCCATGTCAAATTTGTAATATTGTAATTTTTGAATATAATAGTGTAATATTATGTGCATGTAAACTAGTGAGCTAGCATAAACAATACTAGGCAGCAAAATTAACCTGTGTTTTTCCTACTGTGACATGACTGAATGTCTGAATAGTTTTTGTAATAATGTTCTGTATCTATGTAAAAAAAGAACGATTGTCGTTGAACAAAAAAACCCTGATTTGCATTCTGTGCAGGGTTTCCGTGTGGTCCAAGTGGAAGAGTGTTGGTTCAAATCTCTTGCACCTCTGATGGCTGAGGTCAGGGCTCAGATGGGCAGCGGTCCAGTTTACCTCAGTTTCGACATCGATGCTCTTGACCCGGGCTTTGCCCCGGGAACAGGCACACCAGAGATAGCAGGGCTTACTCCCATACAGGTAACCATGGTGAAACAGACTTTAATCCCTCTGAACTATCTTTCATGATCTGATGACGCAACCTTGTCATATTATGATTTACTCCAGGAGTTCAAAACAAGTACTGTAACTCCCATTTACATGTAGGAAGTTCTGTTTTTAACCCAAGTGAATTTTCTGCGCCTATTTATCTTCTCGGCTGTATGAATACTGATACATTTTTGTTATCTTGGTTGGATTTAGGGAGTTGAGATTATTCGGGGCTGCCGTGGTTTAAACCTTGTTGGATGTGATCTTGTGGAGGTGTCTCCCCCCTACGACACCACAGGTACTTCTTTTTTAAATTTCTCATCAAATTGGTGTATTTTATTAGTATGACCATTAATCACAGTGGTTTTCTCAACAGGGAACACTGCACTGACTGGTGCCAACCTCCTTTTTGAAATGCTGTGCGTCCTCCCAAAAGTGAAATACTTCTGATCAGTAAAGACATCACAGAACGGAACAGGTAGCTTGTTAATAATGAATATACAGGTACCAACGCCAAATGAGCAGGTTGTCCTGCTGAATTTATCATTGTAATCATATTTTTTTTTATTGCAACTGTTGACGACCAATTAAAAGTCTTTACTGTAGCAGACATCATGTACACCAACTTGTAAAAAGCATTATATTCTCTTAATCTTTCACGTACATACTCTTTAAAAAAAAATACTCTCAGGTCCTATAAATGACATGATTATGTCATGTACAACTCACAGTACCAACACAATTATATGAATTCTATTTTTATAGATCATGTTGATAAAAGAAATTACTGAATTAAGCGCACACTAAGTTTGACTTTACTTTCAAGTGCCACGTCACATCATTTTATATCATACTATGCCATTCTGAAAACATTCACAACTTGAAATGCTTGTAATGTTTGCTACATATAAAAAGCATATATCTATCTATAGTGCAACCATTCACAAATAACACAGCAGATCTGACAGTTGTTTTGATATGTATAACTGTACCGGTGGATTGCTCGCTCCAGGTGGGGACGGAGTGCCTACCTCAAGCGAAGGAGTTCAAGTATCTCGGGGTCTTGTTCACGAGTGAGGGTAAGATGGAGCGGGAGATCGACAGACGGATCGGTGCAGCTGCAGCAGTAAAGCAGGCACTGCACCGGACCGTCTTGGTGAAGAGGGAGCTGAGCCGGAAGGCAAAGCTCTCAATTTACCACTCGGTCTACGTTCCTACCCTCACCTATGGTCACGAACTCTGGGTCGTGACCGAAAGGACAAGGTCGCGGCTACAAGCGGCCGAAATGAGCTTCCTCCGTAGGGTGGCCGGGCTCAGCCTTAGAGATAGGGTAAGGAGCTCGGTCATCAGGAGGGAGCTTGGAGTAGAGCCGCTACTCCTTCGCGTCGAAAGGAGTCAGCTGAGGTGGTTCGGGCATCTAATTAGGATGCCTCCTGGACGCCTCCCACTGGAGGTTTTCCAGGCACGTCCAACTGGGAAGAGACCCCGGGGAAGACCCAGAACACGCTGGAGAGATTACATCTCCCAGCTGGCCTGGGAACGCCTCGGGATCCCCCAGAATGAGCTGGAACATGTTGCCGGTGAGAGGGAAGTCTGGGTCAGCCTGCTTGGCCTGTTGCCTCCGGATAAGCGGAGGAAAATGGATGGATGGAACTGTACCTGTACCAGCTAAATGTGACCCTCAAAATAAATAAAAATGGTATATGTGTTGCATTAGTAATGTTTAAATATTGCTATCACAGTCAGAACCAGACTGTGCATTAGTGCGTCAACTCGCATGAACATAAATGCACATCTGTTTGAGAAATGATAGCTAAGCAAATTAAGTTGTTTGACTGTGGGGTGAAAAGTTTAACTAACCCAAGCCCAGTTTCTTTTTTTACGCATAATGACCTGACAAATGTCCAGCAGGGAATGAAACGTTCTCTACTTTTAAACAATTTTATGGGTTTGAGTTAGTGTGCAGAGCCTTACACCTGTGATGTGTGTACAACTTCCAAATGCAATGTTTTAATCATCCTTCATGTAAGATACTGCCTATACAATGTTTATCTGCATTACTACTAACAAGACGGACGGATATTTACACCCACCAAGAGGGAGAGGGTCTTCTACAAACTGCCTCTTTTGCTACAGCATCATGGAAACACTTCATTTTACCGTTAATGACTTAAAGTATGAATGGGGTGCCATCTGCAGGTGACCCATCCTTCATTTCCAAGACAAGATATTCACAAACACACACACACACACACACACACACACACACACACACACACACACTAACCTTTTCAACTAACATAAAGGGCAAGTATGAATAATTCTGGATGATTTACAGAGTCTCCATCTTCTGCACCACCTCTTCCCAGACAGGCCCAATGTGGATGAATGCAGCTGAAGTAACAGTCATTGATCTTTATCAGGTATGGTCTCTTGTAGCTGTCAGGCAGCACGTTGTTAATATACTGGCTAAAGTTCAACGTGCGCTTGCTGTCAGCAAAGGCCCTCTGCTACTTGCTGTAGAAAGGAAAGTTTAAGAAGGATTCGTAGTCAAAGCTGGCATGGAGATGACTGCAGCAACCACTGATGTATGGCTGCATGTCGTCAGCAATTGACACGTTTGTCACACATTTTTACTAGATATTTGGTTGAAGAAATAGTAGTACCCACGTAGCCACTGTGATTATTTTATTGGCTGCAAGAATTGAATGAGTAATTCAGAATGGCTTCTCAGCAAATAACAAAACATACGAAATAGGTTGCTGGGCAAAGTAGGTACAAACATATACTGTACATGTATTCACTAGTGTAGCAACAGACAAAAACTTCGATTACGTTTTCTTACTGCTAACTCTTTGTGTGAAAGAATGTGGCACACTAGGCAAGTGTCCGCGGCGCAAAGTAAACTGAATCAAACGTACCCTGATTTATTTTCGTCCGCGCGCTCTCATTCGTGGACCAATCACAGCAGACGGCGATGTAAACAAGGAAGTGGCTCGTTCAGGCGTGCACCACTTCCTTTGTTTTAAAACAAATTTCTTATATTTCTACACGAACAAGACATAGTTTTATTTTTTCACAAACGAACATTTTAGGACATGGACTGACCGACATGGTATATAGTTAATTATCTTCTGTTTGTGGGTTGAGAATGCTCAGAGCCACGCAAACTCATTTAACGTGCTGCTGTGTTACACACCTGTTGACGTGTCTCCTATCAGTGCTATGGTATGTATGAGCATTAATGTCATAGCTGTCTTTAAAGTTGGTCTTTGTATACAGTCTATAGTTAGCTTACATTAAATAAATTATATATTTTGGCATAAGGAAACCTGACCAAAATATCAAAGTATATATATATATATTTGTTATAGTAAGTAGCCTAAATAATATCACCAGGTGGCCACTTCATTGATTAAAAGTTGTATTAGCCCTCTGACACTTTAAAGCTAGAAATAGTTATTTAAATAAACTTTTTTTAGGTGTGTCTATTTTAGAATCCTATCCAAACAACTGCTGTCAGTATTTCGGCCAGCATAGGAAACCAGCATACCACACTGCAGGCAAATGCTTATAACATTTTGTTAAAAAGTACTTTTGGACCTCTTTTTATTCAACAAACTCAGACTAATGAGCACATTTGGCTTGCCCCCCTAAAAGTGCTCTCTCTCTCTTTTTAACATGAACACTGGGATTTGTTGCTCATCATTGTGATCTTTGTTTCTTAAATATACTCTCCAATGTTGATAATACATTTTGTTTCTGACTTTCCTCTACGGTAACTCAGTACTACTCGCAGTCCACGTGAACTAGGAATGCGTTTAATTCACCTTTTGGTAACGGTCACGTTCATTTTCCAAGCAATGCATTCCTGCTTTTGTCACAACACCCGAGAGGGAGTAAATAAGACCAAAGCCTCGAGGCAGAACACAACGTGAGAGTATTCAGGTAAGCACCATTTATTTTTCATGCACTTACAACTGACAGAAGGACAAGATCTGTTGTAGAAGCAGATTGCTAGATCTGTATTGCAGCACAATAATACATAGTATCTGTTAATTCTGCTTTGTTTAATTAATCCCAAATGATGTATTTCTTTTTCTGTATATCTGTTTATCCAAACTTTAAAATGGATACTTTTGTGCCTTTGTGAAGCAGTGTCCTCATCATTAAGCTGGAGTAAGCAAGCACTCACCTTTATTGTGGAAGTCAAGACCAACTTGAAACAAAGTAAGAATCATTTCTTCTGCTTCAGCGTCTGAAACCAAATCTGAAACTCTATAAGAGCCATTCACTTAGAGAAAATCAGAATGAATGCAATAAAGTGAGCCATTTGTAATAATAGCTGTTGCACCACCTGGAGCGTCATCATCTTGGCTTAAGCTTGGAGACCACAAATCTATAACAAAAAGGACGAATATTTTATTATATTATAAAGATTATTGTGTTTTTATTTTTTACCTGATGCTTAAGTTGGTCCATTGTATCCACTGTATGGAGAAGTCATTTGATTCTCCAGTGTAATGCCTCTTCTAACTCCAGTAGAGGGCACTTAATGCTGAAGTTTACTGTATTTAGTTTGAGAGAGAGAGTCCAGAAGTCTGTCGCTGGTATCAGCACTGAGCTCCTGAGAAATCTTTTAATAAAGTCTGCAACAGCACTTACCATTTCCATAAAACATGAATTGCCTATCATTTATTAAGTAATGCGTTGAGTGGAGTGGAACTATGTTTCAGGAATGCCAGAAAGGACTTTGTGTCTTCTGTGATGTGTGTATTGAGAGCATGATAAGTACAACACAGGCTTGTTTATTGCCCAATCAAAGGAAAAAGACAAATCTCAGAGGATTAGCTCTATTTTGTTAAAACTGCAGCATTGATTTGCACCATTCTTTTCATTTCTATGGTTCTCTTGTAAGTCCCCCATGCCCTTCCCTCTAAATCACTGGAGTACCCCTTTGATTAAATATTAGTTTTTGTGTGCAGGGAGGCTGCAGTAATAAAGTGTATTCCATCCACTGACGCATAATAAAACCCTCCGAGAGCTCTCTTTCTCTCTCTCTGACCTTCAAGTTGAGATCCAGATGAGTTATAAGACCTAATGTACTGGAGTCACTTCCCTGGTACTGTGGCCGATGTGGCCGAACAGCATGTCCCAGATCAGCACATCACAAAATAACTCAACTCAGCTGTGTTTATTTTGGTTAATGGCCCAGTCCCAGCTATATATAGATGTGCCTTGCTATCTAGCCTGTCTTCCCAATGCCTCTTTGACCATGTGACAAACACAGGCTACGTGTCTTGGAGTGGCACCCCTTTGGGCTCCTGATTGGTCGAGACACTGGACTGTATATGTGAGGAACTACCAATGATGTGGTCATGAAGGTGAGCCTCTCACATTATTAGCTGGGGCCCATTTAGTGCTTTTTTTACACACACGCTCTACACAGGCTGTACAAGACACCTTTAAGCTCCTCTCCAAATGTTCAAACATTCTTAGTATACCCAGCATCCAGCAGCTAAAGTGAACTGCAGTCAATAAGGCGCGGCCCGAAGCAGACAACACCCAAGCAAGCCCCGCCCCTGCTGCTGCACAGAGCGACGATCGCTTGTTTATTAAAATGTTATTAATATTGAGCACTTCGCTTGTCCAAATTGACCAACATCGACAGAGCACTCCCTTGGGTCCTGAGCAATGAACCCACCATGTGTGACTTAGATCGAATAAATGGTTTTCGAGATAGACGAAGGACACACACACACACACATACATTAGATTGTGGCTCTGCGTTTAATGACACAATCATGTCTTTCTGTGTTGTAATAATTGGCTACTTTTCTAGATTAACTTTCTTGGTGTGTGACACATAGTCCCCGTCAATTTTTAAAGAGTAGATAATCAACAAAATCTTCATGTTGTACTCTCATGCTCGGTGAATCCTTTGCTGATGCATATTTTAAGTTGCTGCACTGCTCTATTTACCAACATGGGATTTTGTTGAGTTATTTGGTGAATCCATGTAAGATATGACCCATATAAGAGTTAAATGAAAGGAAGAGAGGGAATAGTAATGCGTCTTCTTCCAATATATCTGCATCAAAGTCCAAGGGCGTAGACCGAGAGCAGAAGCATTTTATATTCCTTGGCTGATCTGCCGCTCATTGTCACAGCTGTTTCGCACAGCTGCAGCTCCAGTTGACGAGGAGCAGTGCGCTGCAGACACTCTTCATGTAAACACACGGGGCCGGTCAGCGTTGGAGTCTTCCGACATCTTCTCCATCATACCTCATGGCTGAATCTAATAATGTGTACAGACTGCAAGCACAGCAACCAAACAGGGAGTCAATCAGATTTGACTTGAGCTTGCAGACCTCTCCTGAACTTAACGACATGAAGGACTGTCCCAGATGGATCAAGTTGTCTGTGGGTAGTGACATAAAGCGGTTTGATAAGCCTGACTTTAATGTCTGTATTCGGTTGTTTGCTTCTATAGTTTACTCGGCTCCCTTCCCCAGCATGGATCCCAGATCAGTTGTTTTATCACTAAAGCTTATCTGAAAGCCACATAAAAATAAACTTTTGTATTAATTATGTTGTTTTTACCATTAATTTAGATTCTAGGGCAATGTACTGCTACTTTAATAGACTCTAACCTCCAAACAAACACAAAACACTGAAAGATGGTGTTAGTGAGTCACAGAGGACTGGGCCTGCACTCGAAGAAGCTGAAGTATCCTTAACATTTCGCTGAATGGTACATTGGTTTTGGGACCTATAATAATGGGTTGAAACAGTTTTGACTAAATGCGTTTCACACAATTTTTCCAGCGCTTTTCTGCTGACGGGAGGCAAGGGAGGAGTCCCTAAATCAAACCGCTGTGGTCAGGGAGATGCTTCGAGTGTGCATTCACAGTCGGAGACCAGCAATGATCTCTGTTGTGTATTCATGAAGAGTCTACAGGGCACAGGAACACATGTTTGCTCTGAGGACTCCTGTTTACTTTGGGATTTGTTTGAGATGAAGCGTGTTGTTTCTATATGTCGGTCTTAAATGTTGTTTCAACAAAGACGCTCCAAATTAAAATTAAATATTGCATATGGCTTCAACTCTTCATGTCTTGGCCGAGTCTGCATTTTGCACATGCCTTCCTCATTTATCCCTCATGTTACAGTTTCTGTCCACCTAGCTAATAACATTTTGTTTGTTTACTTTTAATTACACAGTTATTACAGTTATTACACAGTGTGCAGCTGAATTTAAAGTCCCCCTCCGTTCAAAACTACGTTGCTTGTTGCTACTATACTTGGACTTTTGAGCTTCACTGTGCAGAATGATGTTTGTTTGATGTTAGGCTGTTTTCACATTCATCTCCTGAATGGGCTCACCTTAAATTTGAGTTTTAAAACGTGTGTGACATCACTAGTTTGGATAGCAATCATGGCACAAATGCGACCTAAACAAGTGTTATGTGAAAAGCTTCAGTTTACATCACAGACGGTATATAAGTGGAAGTAGTCACCGCGGCGTCACCCGTTGGTTTGTGGACTACGGTTCTGAAGCCTCGAGTTCAGCATTTTGGCCGTCTGGTTTTTGGCTTTCGCCAACTTTGCTTTTTGGACCCAGAAAGGACACGAGAGGGTGGAGCGAAGTACAACCGAATGCTGAATAATACATTTTTAGGTGACCAAAATGTTCCAATTTAGATTCTGGATTTCTCAGTAAGGCAGAAGGAGTAGCGGTCATTTTAAGAATTTGAACTATTTTTCTGTGGAAAAAAAACACATCAGACACAAATTTTCATTCAAAGCATGATGTTTTTATATATCATTCAAACAAGTCTGGAAGAAACTTAATCTAATTAGATTGTAAAAATAGAATCTCACAAGTGGTACGTTCATAACATACGAACGAGCTTGATAAGCCCATTCTGTTCATCTCCCTTTTAGCCTATTTTGGTGCGCATTTGAGAACAGCTCCTGGCCAATTCCATTCAGGGTTCAGCTTTTAATTGGCAACAGCTGTCTCTGAGTGTTAATGTGTGCTCTTTACACCAGTGACATTAATGCACACAAACACACAGTCCTCCACACGGCTCCTGACTTCGGTCCTGACGAGTACTTTACCGTGTATTTCTGTGTGTGACTTATACTTATGTGTGACATGTCTCTGATGGGACAGCAACAAAGGACAGTTCATTTCTATTTTGACTTGATGCTTGAGTTGGTCCTTTGTATCCACTGCGTGGAGAAGTCTTTGGTGTAATGCTCCTTCTGACACCAGTAGAGGGCACTTAATGCTCAAGTTTACTGTGTAAAGCTCTTTTAATGAAGTCTGCAACAGCAGTTCTATTTTCTACCAAAATAAAGGAATCTCAGTCTTTTAATGACCACAAGCTTTCCATAAACACATTTATTTACCTTTTTAATTATTAAGAAAAACGTTGAGCGGAGGGAACTCTGTTTCAGGAATGCCATGAAGGACTTTCAAAATATGTGTCTTGAGGGCATGACAAGTCCACTACAGGCGTAGAGCAGGTTTACTGCAATAATTATATTTAACCGATACTGAATACTTTAATTGAAGGCATGGCTAGCTTGTAATGATGTATTTTTACTTTATATTATTATACATATGCAACCAGAGGTGGAAGAAGCATCCAGTGCCACAAAGTAGCCACAGATAAAGTACATTTACTGGAGTACTGTATTTAAGTACAATTCGGAGTTACTTGTACTTTTATGTGAGTGTTTTAAATCTATGCTGCTTTATTCTTCATCTCCACAACAATTCAAAGCGATATATTGCACTTCACCACATTTATTTGGCACCCGTAGTTAGCATATAATACATTGTTATACAGTGAATTAAATCACCCAACATTATAAAAAAATAAAAGTAGCTGTAGCCAGCCATTAACTGCATCTTATGTTACTGCAGCAAAGCTAATAATCTACATGCATAATGAACGTTAACAACCACCGAGGCCATTGCGGCTGCGCACTGTGTATTTACTGTGAGTACATGTTCCTACTAATACCTACTTTTATTGAGTAAGATTTTTTGAATGCCGACTTTTACTTCTCCATCACCACTGTCGCAAACTCAATATTTAGTGCATATGCAGACTTTAAATCCGCGTGCAGATATATATGATATGATATGATATGAATAAGTAGCATTTTCTCCGGATCCGACACACGTGAGGACTGTGTACGGTCATGTGGAGAGCTAACATGGCTCTACTAGGTGGCGTCTCCCCACACTGGGATTAGATATCTTCTCTTTCAGCACTCCCCGAATTCCATTCCGCCTCTTACTTTTTCGGCAGCTCTCTCTCTCTCTCTCTCTCTCTCTCTCTCTCTCTCTCTCTCTCTC